ACTAGGAATGAGCAAATCTCTGGAACTATCCCATGTTCCTCCTTCCCTTTCAGCTTTCCATGGTTCACATAAGGGAGACATACTGGGCGATCTGGAGCTCACAAAACCTTTTATTGGCTTTAGTTTTTCGAGAGTTAAAAATGGAGAGTTGTCTCATTGTCTGTGTTTTCCCAAATGCAGAGATTTGGTTCTCCATGTGATAGTATTTTAAAAAGTAAAACTCTAGAAATTCTCCATTTAGGGATTAGGAATGTACCACTTTCATCAAGGTGATACACAAGCAGTTACTGAACATTTTCTATGTTCTACCACTAAAAATCACATTTAAACAAAACACAGTAAATTGTAAATGTGAAAGAGGCTTGGTGTTTGAAGGTGCCCTCGAGACACCCAGCACTGGATTAGATCCAGATGTGCACATCAGAGTGTGGACACACCCCCTCTCTAGGTGTACTGGGTGACTCTCCTGGAAAGTAAGCCCATTGAGAGCTTCCTTGTAAAGGGAGAGTGAGACTTAACAAGGGGTACCTCAATCAAAAAGATAGCGAAATTACCTGAAGGCTTACTGTCTGTAAGTGCTTTGACTGAATTAGATTATTTAATCTTCACAAACAATCATAAGAAGAAAAATGGATTTACTACCTATAATAAAATATTCTATTATTTTTTTAGAAGCCAAAAATAGAAGCTTTGGGATCCATCACCTGAATAGTTACCACAGGTAATATGCGTGGTGTTTGCCAGTTTGCCCAAGTAAGCATTTGTTGAGATTTGTTTTCATCTTAAATAAATGTCCACTTTAGTACCTAATTTTGTAATCACAACTTGATTATTTTCTTCAGCAGGTGCTTTAAATTGTAAATTTTATCTTCTTTTCATAGCCTAGATCCACCACTGTGCATGAAATATGAACAGCTCTAGCTTGCAGATTGAGACAAGTGAAATTAGGTTACTTGCCCAAATACACACAGCCAGTTAATGGTGGGGCCTGCATTTGAAACCATAGCATTTTTCCAGGAGGATGTATCACAGTCTGGCAACTCTTGGAGTACTCCTCATCATAAAGGTTAACATTTCTTATTATTTTTTCTTAGAATCCTAGCAAACTCTCTGAGACACTATGGACACTAAAATTTTTTTGATGGCTATTATCATTTTATAAATTTACATTTTCTTTTATAATAATAGGAGCATGATTATTCTCACTTGAGGAAATATTAGCTTGTAACTTATAAAACATACGTTCTGGAACAGGCTGATTTTAGACAGTAATTTATAAATTGATAGTTATTTCCTAAAAGAGTCTCTTCACATAGTAATATTCTAGTGTATCAGAATCAAATAATATTCTACCTGTATCAGAATCATCTGGGCCCCTCCCAACCCTATTGGATCTCTTGATGGGGGTGGAACTCGAGAATCTAAAAGTTGAAGGAGTTCCCTGCATGTCTATTTTCACAGGGAAGCTGGAAAACCACTGCTTATAGATAGACTCTCTATAAGATTGATATTGCCTTCAGAAAAGGGGTGGAGGTAGGGTAGGAAAGAGCTTGATTCTAAGGTGTCACTCATAATATTTCCTATTAAAAATGAAACTTAAAAAAAAAGAAATGATAATACATGGGGATTGCAGAGATGGAAAAAGGCACAAAATGATGTAAAAATAAACTTATTATTTGGCCCTCCCTGGTGGCGCAGCGGGTTGGAGCACAGCGCTGAGAAGCTGAAGCCACTTCCGCATGAGTTAGATCCCCGCCTGCCCCGGAGGTGACCACATGGCACGGCAGACCTCTCCTGGCCCACCCGCTCCTCCCCTCAGCAGTGTACTTCATCAGTCGGCCTGTTCTGCTCCCCACTGTCTCTGGTGAGGCCTCTCACTGCCCCTGAGCCTCTGGCCTGTACCCCAGTTCTGTATGCACAAATAAATAAATCTTTGAAAAATAAATAAATAAATAAACTTATTATATATATATTTTTTAAATTGGCATATTTTGGCCCCTAATTTGAACATAATGTAAAGTTATGTGCCATGGATAAATTAAGGAGAAAAATAAGCTGTACTTCCTTGTCAAAAAAATCAATAAGTAAATAAATAAATAAAATAAGTGATAAATAAAAATCGCAATGCAAAATAAAAGGCAAGCTTAGGTGCAGTAAAAGGCATATACTTATATGCATTTAAAATTAAACATTTCCATATTATTTTGAAGACTATAATTATTGAGAATAAAGGACAAGGCCCTCCCTAAGTGGCACAACAGGTTAGGATGTAGCACTACAAGCTAGCCAGAGCCATTTCAGTGTGAGTTCGATCCCTGGCCCCAGAGATGATCCACATGGTATAACATACCACACCTGACCTGCTGACTGCTCCCCTCAGCAGTGTACTTCGACGATCTGCCTGTTCTGCTCCCTGCTCTGTCTCTGGTGAATCCTCTCACCACCCCTGCACCTGTGGCCTGTACCCCAGTTTTGTATGCATAAATAAATAAATCTTTTTTAAAAATAAAGACTAAAGGATGAAATATATTGCCAGGTACTAGTCTAAGCTTTAAGCATTTTAATTTTCTTAAACTTTAAAAATGCTTTCAATTAAATAATCTCATTATCCCCATCCTAGAGATGGGTAAGGAGAGGCTCTTAGACTTTAGGCAGCTTTCCAGTTAATGCAGAGCCAGGAATCTGGTTCTGTAGTCACACAAACACACAATTTTAAAAATAGAATAGGGAAAAAGGTAAAATTGCAAAGCTTTACAGAACTTGATGTGTTGGAGTTTGTTCTGATTAAGTCATTTTCAAGATGAATAAATAGTGCCACAGTTGAAGACAGCATGAAATCACTAATTTGGGTCAAGCACATGTTATTTCCATACAGAAAGCTTTAGAGTATTAAGCCTATTTGGATTTGCAGATGTTGGAGCTTTAATCCCGCCTCTTAATTCATAAAGGAAATCTTTGTTTCAGTTCTTCCCACACCCATCTCTTTCCACTTACCCCTCTCCCAAAGTTTCAAGATCTTTACTCTAAATTCCTTCCCTCAGCACTTCCACTGCCCAAGCCTAACAGCAAGAGCCAGCATTAAGTGCCCACACTGTTCCAGTCACTGTAGGCATGTTAATACACCTTTCCCATAACCCTGTTATATATAGCCCACATTTAACAGAATTGGAAACTGAGGAGTTACTCACCCAGTGTCACAAAGCTGTTAAATGACCAAACCAGGAATCAAGCCCAAGCAACCTGGTACTAAGTCTATGCCTTTAACCATTAACCAAAGAGTCTACCAAGTATTGAGTGCCCACTCTGTATGGGTATTTTCCACAAACTAGGAGCTGAAGCATTACCAGTGTGCTTAACAATGTGCCCAAGCAGAAAAGAAGGTACCTGGAGATGAAGCAGCCTGTCCAGGTCACACAACTATAAATGACAAAGGAAAGACAGCCTTTCTCTCAGTATCTAAAGCCTGCACTTTGCTCCACTGCACCTTGGATTTTCCTGGAATGTTCACAGGTTATTCCTCCTTACAGACCTACAATGTCAGGACCATGTACCCCATTTAAAAATTAGTACATCCAAGAGGCAGTAGTCAGCCAAAGAGTGCAATGTGACATTTAGGCAAATCCAGATCTGCTATTCAAAGCAGGGTGTGGGAAAGGGGAGAAAAAGTATACCTACTTGTCATCTCTCCCCATTCTGAGAAACCAAGCTTTAAATTAAGCAATTTAAATATTGTGTAAGAAGCATGAAGACATGTAAATATAAACTTTACTGGGGAATTACCACTTCTCTGTGTAAGGGCTTCATGTTGATAGTTTGTGAACCTTATTTATATTTTCCAAAGAGCTTTTCTCTTCATCAGATTTTTCATTTTTGCAAGGTTTTAGTCACCTGTGCTTAAGCCATTTAAAACACAAACCCTACTTACCCCCAAAATACAAATACACTCCTTCCAAGAGATATATACACCCCCATGTCCACTGTAACGTTATTTACAATAGGCATGGATAAAGATGTGGCATATGCACAATGGCATACTACCCAGCTGTTAAATAGAAAACAGATGGAATTCTGCTATTTGCAACAAGGATGGACCTAGAAGGTATGGTGCTTACTGAAATAAGTCAGATGGGAAAAGTCAAACATGTGATTTTACTCACGTGTGGTATTTAAAAAAAAAAAAAAGCAAATGAATAAACTAAGTAAAACAAACATAAACTTTTAGACCAGAAAACCAAATTAGTGGTTAAAAGAAGGGAACGGGGCAGGGTGTGGGTGGGTAAATAGGATCCTAGGGTTTAATTGCATGCTGCAAGACAGAATGGGACTTTTAGTGGTGAACTTGATGTAGTATATACACATGCCGACTTTCCATGACGCACACGTGAAACTTACAATGTGATTTGAATTGAAAACAAAACAAACAGACACAAATTCTGGTACAGAATTAATTAAGAGAAATCAAATCGTTTGGTTTAGGGTCCTTCACACCATTGACAAGACCCTAATGCGAAAGTCAGGCTGTCCCAGTTCTGGAGTGGGAAAGTCAGAGTTTGGGGGAGAGTTTGGAAATTTTCTCAGATTGTCTTTGCTCTCGAAACTACTGGGAACAAGAGTAACAACACTCCACCTCACAGGAGCGTCTTAAAGAACCTTGCCATTAATTTGGGGTTCTAGCTCGGCATTGAACAAAAATACCCTAACAGAACTCTACACAGACAACAGGAGCCAAGAGGAAGATTTGATGCTGCAGAACTTTGAAATGCCAGCACAATTCTGGCAGCAACATCACTAAACCGATTCACAAGGTATCAAGAGACGGGAAGCTCCCGAGCAGACGGTTGGCCAAAGGAGACGCGGTGATGCCTCCTTCTCTCGTTTCCAGGACCGCTTCAAAGAGGCCTTTCCAGTAGCCGCCGGCCCCAAGGAGGGATGGGAAGGGACCGCAGCGCGCACCAGAGCCCTCCTCGGGTCCCCACTTCTCTCCTCAGACGTCCACTTACTTGCTCTGAAGAGCCATCCCAGCCCCGCGCTTCTTCCAGCGACCCAGCGCAGAGCTGCAGCCCCAAGCACAGCCCCAGCAGCAGGAGCATGGCGGGGCGAGGCGCGGAGGCCGGAGCTGCGACGCGCGCAGGGACTGTGCTCGGGACTCCGCGGCGGTTTGCGCGCGCACGGATGGCGCCGGGGCTCCCAGGCAGAAGCTCTCCTTCAGCCTCCCCGAGCCCCCGCTCCAGGCCATCTCAGGCGCCCCGCCCCGGCACCGCCCCGCGCCGCCACGGGTTCAAGCCGGGTCCCATGGCCCCAGGGAGGAGGTTTGTGCTGGCAGGCTCGCAGCTTGTCCTCCCACCGGTCGCTCCCAACTCTGGCTCTCAGTGCTCGCCCCGACTCTCTGCCCTTACTTTCTTGGGCAGCTTCTTCTGAGCGTGTGACCTTTCTCTAAGGACCAGACTATTTTGTCTGAGCTTCCTATTCCGCGTCCACCTGCCACCAATCTCCAACACTCCAACTCCCAAGCCCAGTCAACTCTTCTGTCCTGCAAGTTGTGAAATTCCTCTTCGAGGTCTTACTTAATTCTTGTGGCAGGAGAACTGCCCCCACCCCTGCTAAAAACCTAAAATTCCCCCTAAGACCTAAAACCAACACAAAGAAATTTTTTTCAGCCCTGCTGTTCTTAGAAGGCAAGATTAAGGGATGCCACTGAGTTGTCTGAGGCAGGAAGTGTCCCCTGGGATGCAGTTTGGGACAAAAATGAGGAAGCTAGAATTGGCACCGTGTGGTGGTATTTCAGAGTTTTTGGTTATTAATCAAGAAAACGCATGGCATTTTATATCCTAGTTACAAACTACTGGTGGCATTTCCATTTTGAAACAGGGAGAGTTTTTTACCAACCATGCCCACTGGCCCCTTACAGTCCAGCAGCCATTGTTTTATCTGGTCGATGCTCAAAGGAGTTGGAGCTGCTTGTTTATTTCATTTTCCCTCAGACAATCTCCTCAAAGACATATTTTGTGTCTGAAGTAATTGCAGCTCAATCAGTGAGCTGAATAGTAACAGTGAGAGGCTGGCAAAACCCTCAATAACCAAGAACAGGAATATGGTCAACTCTAATAATGGAACATCTGCTGTGGAATCTTGTGCAAACAGTAATAGTAAGGGGGGGGCATGGAAATATGAAAATATTTACAGTATAATCAAAGAGGAAAAAAAGGAGATAATGTAACATTATCAACAGTATGGTTACAGTCAGGTAAAAACACATATAGTGGAAATAACCAGGGAAAAACTATGAAAACAAGAGGTGTATCAATTTGTGTGCTCTTCATTCTTAAAATATCTTTACTCACATTGCAGTGCTGTTTCTTCAACTCAGATGTTAGGGGAGGAGAGGAGAAATGTAAACATGTTGTCACTGCAACATAAAAGGAAAATAACTGTCATTAGCAGTTAATTATTTAATAGTTGGATCACCCACTAATTTACAAAGCATGCAGCTAATAAGAAGTAACAGTAGCTGGCACCACAAGGCTTAAAAAAAAAAAAAAACACTGGTAAAGACGAGCTTTGAAGAAAGTCAAAGGATTTTTATGTCTAGCTCTTTTACAACCTAATCATGTGTAATACATGTCTCCTATCTCCCATGCAGAATTGGAGACTTTGCAACATAAATCCTTAGCAGACCCTTCCCTCATTTTTAACTAAGGAGAATGTTTCCAAATCTTCTGAATCAAGGTTAGCTATTTCTCCTCCCCCCTACTCTGCTCACCCTTCACCAAGGGGAAAAAAATACCTATTTATAGATGAAAGTTAAATTTGGACAAAAGCGGGTTATTCAAAGGGTCAATAAGAGCTACTAGATTCCAATTCTCCAACAGAGCTGGGAGCACATCTCTATCTTCCCCTTCTTGCGGAATTAAGAATGGGAAGGGTCTGTGTGCAGGATGAGTGGCTGGGCTTTGGCCCACACTTGGCCACTACCTAGCCACAAGACCCAGGAGGGTTTCTGAAGATCCACATATTTGCTATCTGTAAGAGCCTCCATTCCTATGTGACATGTGGTATCTGTCTGACCAAATAGAAGTACTCTTTAAAGACCATGTAGATGTAATAAAAATAAGATTGAACGTCTTCCAAAATTGTCCACCAGCAGAGGTAATGATTTATACTGGCCTTCAAATTAAGGATGAAAAAATCAACTGCCTCTCCCAAGGGTGTAAGATTCCACCCACTCCCACCCCTGCCCGCCCACCCCAACACACATCTATGCTTTGATCCCATGTTTCTCCTTTCACCTGTAGCGCGAACCAATTTCCCAGTTTGAGGCAATAGAACTCCCAGAACCTCTACTGGAAAAGTTCTTAGAGGCCCTCTTGCCCAATCCTGATTTCCCCATTAGGACCCTCAGAGGACCTGCCCAGGACCACATGCCAGTCAATGATAAATCTCGGGCATTCATGGATTCAATCTGAGCACAGAGCCCCACAGCATGGGTGGAAGCTGCCCTCCTGGGCCACAGACTCACTATGCCAGCTCTTTCCAGGTAATTACTCCCCAGGAACTGAAGTTTGGCCAAGAGTTCCAGAATTTTAGAATCTGTGTCATTAAAGTTACTGGCTTTATCCTGGTCTCCCATCTAACACTGCCAGGGAAGGGTCTGGTGCCCATTAGTCAAGGCTGGCTTTTCTCCTGCCTTGAGTTTATACACTGATACCCCCTGGTAGCTCTATTCAGCCGTCCTGAGGGCCAGTTCCTCCCTACTCCACTGGGTTCCCCCTTCTGCCACTCCCTCAACCTTTGAGTAACTATACAGCTTTTGTTCTATTATGGGTCTGCTATTTCTCTTTTCCTTGGACTGCCTCTTTTTATCTACTTACATAGCCTTGTATTTCTCTTGGACCACTGACAACTTTATATAATCACAACAGTCTCTTACAAACTTTTCTTTTTTTAATCAAGAGCACTGGTGGAAAAAAAATGGTTTCTTTTTGACTTTGGCAATTTCTCAAACACCTTAGATATCTTGGGACCCTAGTTATATACACTTTCACCTATTACATTAACCATTGAGTTTTATCTAGAGAGATTTGTGGAAGAGGAAATAGAGAAAACACAGTGACTGAGGAGTTGCTGAATTTATCAACTACTCACATATGAGTAACACATATTTTATTTTTTTATTTTAATTATCTGTTTGCAGATTTGAGACCCTCATGGCAAGGCTGAGCTCATGCTCATTTTTATACCCCAGGTCCCTGGCACATGACCTGAAATAAAGTAGATATGAAGTAGGGGTGGCGGAAGAGGGAAAGCAGTCTACCTGCTGTGAGTTGTCCTGTGCTAGCTGTGTGCAATATAACAGAACTTTTAGATATGGTCCACGAGCAGGAAGAAGTTCTGGCATGGGTGTAATTATGGAACTAATGAATTTTGGGTATTATTTGACCTCAATCCTAAGATGCTAAGTGAGAGGAGGGTGATACGTAGACTGTGAACTGGAAATTTTAGAGAAGGCTCATAAGAAGGAAGTGAAAATCAGATTTTTGGGGGACTCCCTGATGGCACAGGGGTTAAAGTTTCAGGGCTATCAAGCTATTACCAGCCACTGCAGCCTGAGTTTAATCCCCATCAGAAATATGAGGCAGCAGACCTCTCCTCTCTTGCAGTGAATGTCAGTAGATGTCAGTAGATCCACCTGTTCTGCTCCCACTCTGTCTCTGGTGAACCCTCTCATCCCCCATACCTCTGGCCTATACCCCAGTTCTTATATTCATAAATCAATAAAAATAATTCTTGAAGGAAAAAATGAAAGGAAAGAAAATTTTAAAATCAGAAGGAGATAGAGGAAAGAGACAGTATAAGAATCAAAAGGGCTTTGAAATGAGAGAAATTAACACATTATACTGGGTGGGGGAGTTGAAGTCTGGGGAGTTATCGGTAGAATTTTCTTGAACTGAAAGATTATCAAATAGTCCCCAAAAGTATACTGCTCACCAACTCAAGCTTATGACAACATAATCTCTAGTTCCTTGCAAAAGGAGAGAATTAAGACAGTGAATGTTTTATCATGAACCAAAAGTTTTTTTCTTTTTGCTTTGAAGAACTATCCTTTCCTCTAGGACTTTGTCACTCCCACCACTGAATTCCTCACCATGGGCCACTGGAGTGGGTAAGTGAAAAAGTAAGTCCCCAGAAGAGGTGTGTATGTTGGAGATGAGAGGAAGATGTAAGAGAATGGTGAACCAGAGCCTGGGGCGGGGTGGGGGTGAGGGGGGGTTAGAAGCAATGTCATCTAAAAAGACTCCCAGATGATTCAGAAATCCTGTCAACATAACCCCACTACCATTGTGCTATATACTTAGATGAGCACTATTTCAGTTATTTGTGTTTGTTCCTATTATCAATACTATAAAATAAGTGTGAATAGTTCAACATAAGTACTTTTTTGATAGTTTATTTTTTTATATAATAGTTTATTTTTATAACATTTTGTGCCTTTTCCCATCTCAGATGTAATCCCTGTGGACTTCCCATCACCAAATCACCCGTGTCAACACAAGTACTTTTTAATGACATCAGAGTTATAGATGTATCACTCAAGTTTCATCCAGACTAAGTGACTATGAGAGGGAGCTGTAGTTACATATGTAGAAAGCTCTGTAAATAGCTTAATAATTAAAAGTCAAAGAAATGTAAACCCCTGGCAGCAATCTGGATCAAATCTGCACATGTGGGCCCTCCCTGGTGGTGCAACAGGTTAAAGCACAGCACTAGGAAGCTGACCGCAGCTGCTTCAGCATGAGTTCAATCCCCTGCCAGGGAGGTGACCCACGTGGCACAGGAGACCTTTCCTGTCTCCTCTGCAGCTCCCCTCAGCAGTGTACTTCATCGATCTGCTTGTTCTACTCCCCACTTTGTCTCTAGTGAATCTTCTCACTATCCCTGCACCTCTAGCCTGTATCCCAGTTCTAAATAAATCATTGGGGAAAAAAATCTGCACATGCAACTACACTTTGATCCATCAAACCAGCTTTAGGGAATTTGTCATACAAATAAACCTGACCATATATGAAATGGTGTAGGTACATGTTTCTTTATTACAGTATTTGTAAGGCCCAAAGACTGGATATAACCAAAAAGTTCACTGTTATGAGTCTAGTTAAATATGATGTGATACAATGAGGAAGCTGTCTATGTGTTG